ATCTATAATAGTAGTATAATTAATAATTGAATATGTTGAGAAACGCTGAAACTGTAGGTTTACGCGGGGTTGTGGGTCACGTGGGGCACACTTCTATTGCTGGCCTTGGCTGTGCATCGGAAACGGAAGGCGCTAGACCTTCTCGGGCATCTGCAGCCGACGAACGACGACGGCAGCCGCGGAATCTGGGCGTACCTCTGACATTCCGTGCTATCTAGCGGACTCCTCACCAATACGGCCATGATTCACGAATCAGCTTGTGTCGCATCCCGAACGCTGAGTATATGTAGCTGTACCAACATCAGTGGCTTTCAGCTTCCGTAAGTCGTCTCTTTACATTCTCTCTACCATGGCTCCTCATCCCCTGCAACAACTCTCTTTCACTGAGGCCCAGCTGGCCAAAGACCTCCTACTTGCATCTCATGGCAAGAACGAGGTCTTGTTGGTTCGCGAGATTTTCCTTCACGAGCCCAAGAAGGTGGAGCTGCAGGAGTATCTCGAGCTTGAACATTCTGGCCAGCTCACATCTACATCCCCACGTCCAGCACGCGAGGCCTTCGTGCAATACGATGTGCTTGGCTCCGACAAGCAGCCATACCACAACGAAGCCGTGATCAATCTCGATACACAAACTCGGACGAGTCACGAAGTCATTGGCAAAGATCTACATGCACCAGTGAAATTGTAAGTGCCGCCTTTCGATCGACGACTTGGGTGAAGGCTAATGGTGACGAAGTTCCGAATTCAATGCGCTGGTCGATGCCGTCAAAGAGTCCAAAGAATTCCAGAATGCTATCGGCGAGTTTGAAATCCCAGAAGGATTTGAAATCGTTGTTGAACCATGGCCATACGGTGGACCCGATCTCGAGGAAGAGAACCGCAGATACTTCCAGGGTTTAATCTTCGCACAAGACACAAGGAACAAGAATCCAGACAGCAACTTCTACGCATGGCCACTCCCTCTGATTCCAGTCATGGACGCGGAGACGAAGAAAGTGGTTCGAATCGACAGACTAGCCACCGGCGGTAAAGGCGACGGTCTTACTGGTAAGACGCACAGCAAGAAGATCCTTGACCACTGCACAACTGCCGAATACGTTCCCGAATTGCTTCCAAATGGCACGCGCAAGGATGTGAAGCCTTTGAACGTGCAGCAGCCAGAGGGTCCATCCTTTACTGTCACTGACGAGTCTCTTGTTGAGTGGCAAAAGTGGAGATTCCGAGTGAGCTTCAATCCGCGTGAGGGTGCAGTCATCCACGATGTCTGGTACGATGGCAGAAGCATGTTCTACCGGCTCTCAGTCAGTGAGATGACAGTGCCCTACGCTGATGCTCGACCGCCATTCCAACGTAAGCAAGCTTTTGACTTCGGCGATGGAGGTGCAGGAAACTGCGCAAATAATTTGGCCCTGGGATGCGACTGTCTTGGAGTGATCAAGTACTTTGACTCCGTATTGCTCACTGGCGACAGCGAGGTCACAAATAGCCCCAATGTCGTGTGTTTGCACGAACAAGATAATGGTATCGGATGGAAGCACACGAACTGGAGAACAGGGCGTGCAGTCGTCACTCGGCGACGCGAGCTGGTTGTTCAGTTCATCATTACATTGGCCAACTACGAATACATATTCGCATACAAGTTCGACCAATCAGGCGGCATCGACATCGAGACTCGCGCAACGGGTATCGTGAGCTGCGTCAACATCGACCCTGGCAAGGTGTCCGACTACGGCAACGTTGTGGCGCCAGGCGTGCTAGCACAAAACCACCAACACATTTTTGCTTTCCGCATTGATCCCGCCATTGATGGGCACAGCAACACGGTCGTTCAAGAAGAATCACTACCAGTCCCTATGAACCCAGAAACCAACCCACGAGGCAATTACTATCAAGTCGTGAAGACTCCGATCACAAAATCATCCTTTGCCAACGCAGAGCCCCGCAATAATCGCGTGTTCAAGATCGTCAACGAATCGAAAAAGAACCGCATCTCACAAAAGCCAGTCGGCTTCAAACTGATCCCGCCAGCTACACAACTCCTTCTCGCCGACCCAAACAGTATCCAAGCCAAGCGCGCTCTATTCGCCCAACACCACCTCTGGGTAACGAAATACAAAGACCACGAACTCTACGCAGGTGGTCGTTACACACTTCAGTCGCAGTCAGAGATCGGTGGTGTGGCAGATGCTGTTGCGCGAAATGAGAACGTGCAGAACGAAGATGTTGTAGTGTGGTCAGTCTTCGGTCTTACACACAACCCTCGAATCGAAGATTGGCCTGTCATGCCTGTGGAGATTCATCAGATCAATCTCAGACCTTCGGATTTCTTTGAGGCGAACCCGAGTATTGATGTGCCTAGTAATAAGAATATTGCTTCGCAGCTTGTGACCAACGGACAGAGCAATGAGACTGCGAGGACGAATGGTGTAAACGGAACGCATGGGACAAATGGCGTCAATGGTACGCATGGTACGAATGGAGTTAACGGGACGAATGGATGCTGTGGCGAGCACGAAGTTGCTGTGCGATAGTTTACCAAAGTGGTCAGGACATATGTCGACGTGGCTTTGATGAGTGAGTCGCATAGCGATATCTTTTCAAGATTGAACATGAGGTATGAAAGACTGTAAATATGATGAAAGTCAAGCGCCATGATAGAAACTGTCTCTGATACTTCTACGGGACCGCTCACCGAAGCACCGGCATGAAAGCTCATCGATGGGTCGGTATCGAGTACCAGTCCTCTGCCGCTGTATCCAATGCTTGCTCACAGAATATCTGTGGCATCGAATGGAGATTCAGATTGTCGCCTTGCCATCTCTTTCCCCGTCGTCAGTATTCGCTGGCACTCACTCGGATCACCTTGCAGATATAAGCGATAACTGATACTTGTGCCCCATGGAAGACCAAGAATGTTGCTCTGGATGCCGTCGTACAGGTCGCCGAATGTTATGCCTGTTGGGTTGAAGAGCGTCCGTAAGCATGGATCTCGAGGAGTGTGTGGAATGGGATAGCGCCCATAGGTAGGTCGACGGGTTGGTACGGGAGGGAATAGGGCCGACTCCCTTTCGATAACCTCAACAGTGCGGACTGGTGGGCTTGTGAGCAGCATTGAGCGCCAAGAAGCAAGACTCGGAGCGGAGCGTCGGATTTGAAATGGTCGAGATTGGAAAATCAGGAAGTGCGGACGCGTGCGTAGCATTTCGAAAACGAGCAGGACGTCAACGCTAGCAAAGCAGGTATATTCCATCATCGCGGGACCAAAAACTTCCGTCTCGATCTTCAAGCATGGATTTATGGACATCCCTGCCACGCTGTATTCCTGAAGGTCGCGCGTTGTTGTCGAGGGAGGCATCGGTGTCAGTTGCATTGCGGTATCTGAACGCCACATCGCCTGCTTCATCGATTTCGAGGCCAAGGTGACGTCTCGCCACAAAGTCGAAACTCGTTGAAATCTATGCAGATCTCGCGGATGGCATAATAGCAGTATCTATTCTAGAAGCTCACAGGTTCCAAGCACCTTTTCGGCGGCTTCCGTCTTTCGTGCAGGTTGCGAGGATTTGTCTTCAAGAATATTTCGGTCTGCTGTTGTCCACTGGAATGCTTCTTCGAGTTTTGATCCGGATTCCAATCGTCGCCATTGACTATCCTTGCTGCGGCTGTCGCGCCAGATTTGTAAAGCATCCTCTGAAGTCATGTCGAGAGCACTCTCAACAGATCGCCGGTAGCTTCAAGAGCAGATAATGTGCGAAGCAAGTGGATGATGTCGATTGAGAAATGAAGTAAATCTCTGATGTATTTTGTATTTTGATGTTGCAAACTTTGCTCGCACAAAGGAGTCTAAGATCGAAATTGCTTGAAACAACTCAAGAAGAATTGCCTCTCCGAGACAAGCCTGACACATAATCAGTCATTACCAATCAGACGCAGCGGAGGGCTGACTTACACAAGTAAGGCAAACATGCCACCAATGCCACCCACGTGAATGAGCTCACCGAGCATGCCATAGCGTGCAAGAAAGCCGCTAGTCCTTGCGATCAGACTTGGTACCACGGCTGCACAGGCGGTCGCGTAGTAGTTTGGCAGTATGTCCGTGACGTTGAATTCTACGCTGTGTCGCAAGAAGTAAGATCGCACGAAATTCAGGTTGAAGACGATCCTCATGGCCATATTCACACAATTTGCCAGGACCAGACCTTTGGCTCCCAAAGCCAGTACTCGTAGGAACACGTAAGCGCTTCCAGCGAATCCCAGCGAGAAGAATCCCATCCAGATGCTTTGCCTGTGGAGATCCTTGGTAGATGCGGTTGCAGAGACGAATGCTTCGCTGACACCGTTGATCGCCAACAATGGTATGCAGATGCTGTACGTTCCAAGTACGTCGCCAGCACCAGATTCAGACCAGCGTGAGCCAGCGACCAGACGCAGAAGAAGTGGTGCGGCGGAAGGTCCCACTGCGAAGCATATGATCGAGACGATTGAGTAGACGCGCAGTATGAGTTGGAGGGTCTGTCTGGCCTGAGTGATGTTCGTAGTCGTCTTCTTACCGTCATTCTTCTTCGTAGCTTCGGTCTTATCGAGCCCAGGTGAGCACAGCTTAGCGAACATGTTCCGACTGGCATCTTCGACTGGTCTGAAGACCATTCGTGCGATCAGGCCACCGTAATTAGCTGACAGCGCGTACATGCCCTGGTCCTCCAGAGTGGCAAGCGTAGTGCTGACAATGACATCGCCTTCTGTCAAGAGGTATTTGATGCCTTGCTGTAAGTAGAGAGATATACTCAAATTGAATAGTGATTTGGAGAAGAGAGACATGATGAAGTCACTTGCGGGACTGGAAAGAAAATCAGAGATGGCAGCTTACATTTGAGAGGTGGTTTGACACACCTCGATTTGATTGATTTTGGAAGAAGAGAGAAATTTTGGCGCCGAGCGACCGGGATGGTCTGCCAAAGGTACACGACTGTCAAAGCTGAACAGTAGAAAAGTTCTCCAGCGGCGAATGGCAGCACTCCGAGATCAAAATTTTGTCTCTGGCTCCAGAACACTGCTCCTGCAGTAGCAAAGGTCTTCAACACAACGGCTGAAGCCTCTGCTGCTGCCCGTGTCTTGTACAACATGTTCTGCTGCACTGTGACAAAAGCAGGCTCGCTGAATAGCTCGATGATGGCTGCCACTTGATAGACTCGCAGCGCCTCCACAAAGTATGGTACATCCGGAACAGCTGTAGTGAGATACCATTGAGCCAGCCCGAGGACGATTGGTATGCCGCCAGCGATCGCCAGATAAGACAGATTTATGGCGGCTTGAATGCCACCATCTGGCTGTCGCTGGCATGCTACTCGCAGGCTTTCCCGTGCGAAGTGGTGGGCCGAGATGACGAAGAGTTCCAATTGCACCGATGCTCCTAGCAAGGCCGGAGAGAGGAATCGGAGCAGTACTTGGTTGAGAGCGAAGGTGAGAGCGCGGGAGGAAATCTGCAAGAGGATGAGAAAGCCGGCGCCTCTGGCGGAGGACGACACAGCATCTCCGGCCATGATGAGGTGAACGATGTGGTGATGCACAGCACAAGTTGAAACAGGAGACGTTGAAGTGTAGACGTTTTCAGGCATGCGTTCAGGCACCCAATGGCGTGGACCGCGGTCCATCGGAGCTCACAGCTGACGATGAGATTCGCTCGCATGTCCAGCCCACTTCGCTTTGCATTCATCATGTGTACATAGCATTTCTGATTTCTGGCCGCCCGCCATGCTCGAGTTCCGAACCCAGGGTTTCAACCCGTACAGCGTCAAGTACTCGCCCTTCTTCGACTCCCGCCTCGCCGTCTCCGCCGGCGCCAACTTTGGCCTGGTGGGCAATGGCCGCCTGTATATCCTCCAGCTCGGCGCACAAGGAATCGCATGCGAGAAGTTCTTCGAAACGCAAGACTGCCTCTTCGACCTCACGTGGTCCGAACAGCACGAGAATCAGCTGTTGACAGCGGGCGGCGACGGCAGCATCAAGCTTTTCGATATCGGCGTTGGAGAGTTTCCCGTGGCAGGATGGCAGGAGCACGCCAGAGAGGTCTTCAGTGTGCACTGGAACTTGATTGAGAAGTCGACCTTTCTGAGCTCGAGTTGGGACGGGACGGTCAAGATATGGACACCAGAGCGGAAAGAGAGCATCACAACTCTGCCTGTGCATAGTTGTGTCTATTCTGCACAATACAGCCCGCATCATCCTCAGATTGTGACATGCGTGTCGCGCGACAGTCACTTAAGAGTGTACGATCTGAGGCAGAAGCCGAGCGCACAGAATCATCTCACGTTGGCAATTCCTATACATGCCCCGCCCAAGGTAACCCCGCCAGGCTACATGCAGAGAAGCCCAGGACCTACAGAGTGCTTGACGCATGATTGGAACAAGTACAGAGACTCTGTTTTGGCCGCCGCAGGTGTGGATGGAGTGATCAGGACTTTCGACTTGCGAACGCCTTCTGGGCCGGTGAATATGCTTACTGGACACGAATACGCTGTCCGAAAGTTGAGCTGGAGTCCACACCTCAGTGATGTTCTGCTAAGCGCCAGCTATGACATGACCTGTAGGGTATGGACGGACGGCAGCAATATCGATCAAGGCGGCCATGGCGTAGGCATTGGACGTGAAATGGGACGTATGGATCGCCACACCGAGTTCGCCATGGGTGTGGACTGGTGTCTCTTTGGTGCAGAGGGCTGGTGTACGACTTGCGCGTGGGATGAACGTGTGCTTGTGTGGGACGTGCGCGAATACATGCGGCCGGGTATATGATGAAACTAACACAAAGAAAATTCGCTACAGCACAAAAATGGAGAAATCTCCATGACAACGGGACATCGCTCGTCCTTCGCAACTGCGTATGGTCCAAATTCGCACGTCTCGAACACGCTCACATTCTGACAAAGTGGGAAAGCATATACCGAAGCTGAAAAGGTCTTCTGCAGTCTGTCAAACGATCTGCTGCACACGATCCACGGGAGGAGCTTTCGACTGCCGTCTCTCGTCAAGATAGCCGCGGAACATCATCGATATCGATGTTCGGGGTCTCTTCCTTGCCCTACGTTGAGCGCTTCGAGGAGACTTGTCCCTGTAACATTGTTAGATCGCAAACCGCTTTGTAACGTACAGCCTCAACGTTGACATACCTCTGGGTACAGCACACCAGAGTGACAAAGGCTGTCACGACTGCAGCGGCGATCCCGATGGAGAGACCTATCATGAGTTTGCTCTGGCCCGAGAGTCCGTGATTTCCGCTGTTTGGATTTGCAGTCGATGTCAAGACGGAATTGTCGTTCACACCCACATTTGCAACGCCGAGTGGGAGGCTGTCAGCGACACAGCCATCACAAAGGTTGTCCCCATCTCCTTTCTGCAACCTGAAATGGAAGGGCGGTGCGAAATTCATATTGTCGAGGGGCTTGGCTTTCCACGCATACGTGGTAGTATCCTGCGATGCATTCTCTGTTACACATCAGCATGATGGACTTCACCTTTTCCATTGGCGCGGAACCACATACTAAGAAGCGACTCCACCGCGAAGCTACCATCTGCTCGAGGACCTTGCCATATCTCCAAATTGGTATTCTCGAATGGCGTTGTCCATGCGACCTCGACCTTGCTATTCAACGCGTGCTGCGAAGGATCAAGTTTGACCGGCTTCGTAAAGGCCAAATCCTGTCCTGTCACAAGGCTTGTCCACGCCCATATCGCCATCCACCTTGTCACCAGACGCATCTCTTCCGGCGGTACGCTGAATGCCAATAGCTACCAGCTGAGTTCTTCGCTTCGTGGCAAGGAGTGTCGCTGTCGCTCATCAAGTTGCATGACATGCGAGATGGTGTGACACTCAGGATACTGATCCGTCCTCGGCTTGCTGTGGCCTGCAATGTTACAACAACGTCGAATCGTAATTCGGAGGGCACTCTGTGCAGAACAGAGACTGTTCTCGAAGGGCCCCGGGCGAATGGGCGCGACAATCGCTCGTCTTCCGCTTCAATGAGTCTTCAATCGATCACTCTGTCCCGCTGTGGCTGTTGCTTCCATCAGGCTACATGGAAACTCGTCATTGGCGCGGCGACGGACTCCACTATACGCGAACAGCGTTTGGAGAAGAAGTGAGAAGAACCCATCATCTTCCCCTCTCCACGCGTCCGGGCGGATACAACAACCATTGGCGTCCCAATGTGGACGCTGCAGGAGTGAATCTGGGTTTATGGTACTTGAAGCTTGGCCTGACGGGAATGACAGGCATGGATATCCATGTACACCAACGCTGTCCAATACTTTATTGAGATGACTGAACACATGCCCAGCACGCTTTCACCAGGGACCAGTTGTGTTTTTATGTTGATCCAGACCAGACATCGCACCGTTTGCAGTACAGGGCTTGAGATTGTCGAAATTCTCCTGCTCAAAAACAGTTGCTACTTGGTGTTGGATGCAATTACTCGCATGGCACTAGCCGTCAGACTTCGGCCCTTGCGGATTGCCAACCACATTGCTCGTCAAGCAGGTGGTCAAAGCAAAAAGGCTGCCGCGCTGAATACAGCACCTTCGACCAGAGCAAGACTTCGCAGTTGACGAGAACTTGTTCATGTTGCTCGACAGCTTGGACCCACGAAGAAACACTGCAGCAGAAATATCCGTCTCTTTCGGCCGGAATGGTCCAATACACTGACGACCGGCGACCACCGATCTCAACAACTTGGACTCTTTCTCCGTCATTTCCAGGTCATTTGTCGCGCTTCTCTTCCTCTCACTCTCATTGTTGTGCCAGAAAACATTGGAGGTCTCGTCGTATGCGCGAACATGTTTCATGATGTACATAAGATCCACTTGAGAGTCAGCGAACTCATAGGCTTGCGTGCATTTGAATGCGCTCAATCCCATATCATGTCTTGGAAGAATGATGCCCAGTATCCATCAATGTCCATGTCGTACGCGCTGCCCTATCGCCCGCTTGTCCTTGGCCGAAATTGATACGACAGCTAGAGTGACCGGCCCGGTGCCCTGCATATTGCTACGAATTCGTGTATGCCTTACAACTAAAGCCATTGTACTATAGCTTCACCCTTCGTGCTATCGAAACAAGCTTGACGAAAATCACAAAACAAGACATACCAAGCAAGAAAATCGAAGACGAGAAGAGAGATTCATTCGCGAAACTCGAATACCAGAACAAGTCAAAAAATGCCCACCAAAAACGTCGTCTTCGACATAGTCGGAACCCTCGTCTCCTTCGATGCCTTCTATGCCCGCATCGACGAAGTCATAGGCGATAAACTCCGAAGCAAAGGCATCTCCCCGCAGCTCTTCGGCTTCAGCTGGCAAACTTCCGCCGAAGTAGATTTCACCTTCCTCTCCATCAGTGGCCGCCATACATCCTATTCCGAATTGATGAAAGCTGTCTTCTACCGCACCCTCTGGTTCGCCGGAATACAAAATCCTCGAGAGTTCGCAACCGATGACGAACGTGATCGATGTCAAGAAGGCTACTCCCTCCTCGGCCTCCGCGAAGGCGCGAAAGAATGTATTGAGATTTTACGAAATGGGGGATTTGAAGTTTGGTGTCTGACCACTGCTGATATTCCGCGTGTGCAAGGGTATTTCAGACGAGGGGGAGTGGAAATGCCAGCGGAGAATTTTGTTTCTTGTGATACGCAGGGAGTGGCGAAGCCGGCTTTGGCGGCGTATAAGCCTGTGTTTGAAAGGTTTGCTGAAGAAGATCAGAAGTGGTTTGCAGCAGCTCATATGTGGGATGTTTCTTCGGCGAGGTTAGTGGGGTTTAAGGGTGCTTATTGTAGGGCTTATGAGAAGGAGGATTGTTTGGAGATTTTTGGTGGGGAAATGGAGGTTATGGCGGATGATCTGAAACAGATGGCGGAGAGGATTGTGGAGGCTGCTCGATGAGACGGTGGAGCTTGAATTAGCTTGCTGTGATCTGCACATTGATAGGTGTCGGATGGGCAGAGCTTTCTCTTCTGTTACAGCAACAGCAGTTAAGTTAGAGCAGTCTCGAAACCTGTTCACGCAGCTCCCGTTGATCATTAGTAGAGTGCGTGCACCGGCTCTCTTAAAACAGAGAAAAGTTTAGCAAGACCTTGGTCACTGCCTATACCTCGCTGAAGTCAAGTACTTGGGTGCACAGTCCTTGCATTATCGTCTTCGTGAAAGCTATCCTGGTGCGGGACAAGATTGGGTACAATTTTAAGACCAATGTTCTGGACGTTCGCGAATCCCAGAATAACAGACATCGTCTAGGCAAACCGTAAACGCAGACCTCGTGATGAGATAATATCATTGAGGAGTTCTGGGACTGAGAACCATCAAGCTGATGCACAGGGCTGCAGCTGTAGTCTCCAGGATGCGCGTATGTGGAGTTCATGCACCCAGGCAAATTAATGGTCGCTCCGCATCTTGGGTACCAGTTCTGTCGCATTCCAAATGCACAACCAAGAATACACGATGCGACCACAGTATGTATCTCGTCAACGCCGAACGGGGCTTGTAGCCAAATGCCCCTGGGAAAAGCATAGCCGCGAACCATTTCCTCACCTATATCGTCTCAGGAACAGAGACACCGTGGTTCCATTGTGACAAACACCTTGAACTGCATCGGTATACACATCCGGAGTGTATGAGTGCAGTATACCAGTACTGAGGGATGATGTTGTAGTGAAGGGAGCTTGGCATATTGATCTTCCAAGAAGGCTCATCATACAGTGTCTAGTAGGATGCAACCCCAGATATCCCGCATCGTTGTCATGGCCGGTTCCTTCGACGGGCTGAGTGATATCGGACATTTCTCCGATCCGTGGTAATGATGTCTCAAAGCTCGAAGCAGCCACAGGCGGGACAGTGGTGCCCGATTACGAGATCTGGGAGACAGCGGCACACGTTACTGATGAAATCCTCAGTCAGTTTGCGAAAATCGCCACTGCGACATTGCTGATGAAATGTTCATCAAGCGGGAGTTTTGTTTAGTTGAACTGTCTAGTCAGACATCGTGGTACTCGTTGATGCAAACTGCGGAAGCGAACTGGATGCCACAGACCATTGTGTCATCCTCGCTCGATAAATCTGGACTCCATGCTCGGCTGTTGAGGCTTGCAGTAGTGCGATAGTGGCGGCATGTCCAGGTTGTTGGTATTTGAATGCCTTCTCGGCGCCATGCCCTGGGGCTCCGTCGAATGGTAGCCTGCTCTCGCGAGATGCAGCTGCACGGGTCCATGTACGCTTCCCCGAGCACGCGACAATCGACAGCCTACGTGTAGCAGAGAGAGAAGCTTCGACAGGAGTGAGTAGATATTGCGTCGTGCTTCTGCGATCATCACAGCAAAATTCGCGACTTGTAGCTGGTGTAGCCCTTTGTGCCCTGATTGCCCACGACTCGCGCATGTAAGCCCACAACGTGGCCGCCTCGCACGCGACAGGAGGTGCCGTTGCAGAGATCTGCGAGTCCCGAGCAGTGCACGATCGTTAATTGTCAATTGGTCGTTGTCGTCGGGTGGACATCATTCTTCGGGTCGGATATTTCGAGGTTCTGTCGATCCCAAATACAGGTTTTGAACGAGGGTCTGGTCGGGGCCGATCACGGCGACCGCACGTTGCATTAATCAGCGCAATTGCGAGAGTATGCTGGTCTGCTCCGCTTGGGCATCGACCTACGACAGTCGCGATATTTTCGAATATTGTGAAATTGTGATCTTGCATACTGCTTCGGCAGAGTCGGAGCAATGTGGGATGAGTGAAGACGGAACCGATCGCGTGGAGAGTCTGCAGTAGCTCAGTATCGTCCCAGAGCCTCGGGCGGTGCGATTGATGCTTGTTTTCAGGGGAAGCGGAACCGCTTCCCATGGACCAGACTGCGGGAGCGTCAGAGGAGCGCGCGCACTCTTGCTCTCCCACACGTCTTTGTCAACACCGGCAAACGCGGTAATTTGTCTCACACGCACAACCAAGGGCAGTGGAGGCGTGCCGGATGTGCGAGCATGGAGAGAGGGCGGCCCGTGATTTGAGGGTTTCCTTCGTCATGGCCTGGCCATTGCGGTGCCATGAGTGGCTCACTGATTGGGTGCATCGGCTTTGCTCTTCACGCTTGCTCACCGCCAAGAAGCACGAGCTCGTGTCGTCGCAGAACAAAGCACCCTCTTCTCAAATAGCTGGCGACGTCGGTCCTACCTCCTACAAGTGCGACACTTCGGGACTTCTCGAAATCGGACTACTGTCCAGGCCGTCCCAAGCACACGGATAAGAGCTATGTCGACGCCCATGCCCTGTGACGCTGTCATCTCCTCTACAACTGCTCCTGTGACCATGCTGGTGGGCTCCGTCGACTGCTAGGCAGATCGGATCTGGAGTCTTGTGCCCCGTGGGTCCACTCTTAACGGCCCTGTCTTTGCAGCAGACAGACACTGGATGACGCACCCGCTGTGTCCTGCAGGATAATCTCTTTTGGGAAAGCATATACTCGAAGGAGATCTGGTTGGAACTCCCGGCGAGACGCTGCCACGACCGGGAAATCTCGTTGTGACGAGGACCGACCGAACGGCTTCCGACCAACAACCTCTATTTGACAGCAAGTCTACACGTCACGCAGCTCGCGTCTCAAAAAGGCCCTGTGGTGCCAGCCGCCAGAACACTTCTACTACCACAATCAGCCAACAATCGTCCACACTGTTCCTGGCCGCAGTCTGAAGTCTCCCGATTCGACGCACAACATGTGCCAACACGTTCGTGTCAAGTATGCCTGTGGGCATATTCGGTACTGCGTGTTGTGTTGGTGTAAGTGCCTGCCCTCTGTTTGACTCTTCCACCACTGACTCGCTGGAGGTTCGCGATATACGGATCTACAAAAGTGTTGTCCTCTCCAAGTCCGTCGTCATGAGACGCTATCTGTGCAACGATGTGGTTAGTATGACGCACCTTGCTGTGCGTGCCTTTTCTAAGATTCTCTCTGCAGGCCATTGTCGAGACACGAACTCGCTCACCCGTCGAGCGTGTATGGACAAGAACACATTGCCGACCGACCGGATCATGAAGAGGCCCAGCTCCAACAAGAGCAATGGGACGATGGCTCGTCCAAAGCCTTTCAGGGTGTCCTGACAGCCACAGCCATCTCGGGACTCCAAATTTTGCTCTACTGCCACAGCATGAGCATCCATTGCACCGGCTCTGCACTTTCCTGATGGTACCAGTACCCTCGCCAAGTTCGCGAAGGCATTGAATCAAGCCCGGGCCGCGACCTCTGTCGAATGTCGCTACTGGCAAGACGTGACGTGCGGGGGCGTGACAAATGTCCCACGCGATCCCGCCCGCCATATTGTCGCCATCACAAGCTACAACGTCTCACCGCCAACAGCCATCTGGTCATCCGCGGCGAAGTATCTACTGTACGCTCAATACGATTCACTCAGTCGAGCGAATCTGGCGCGCTAGACGCGAGCATGTGGCCGCGAAGGCACCGCCACGGATCCGCCTTCTTCAGACTTCTCATGCACGCCTTCGAGCTGCAGGACATGGCGGTCTCTGGCGAACTTGAGCAGAAATATCGACTGGAGGGGGGCCGATGCCTGCCATTGATGGCTCCCCAGGGATCGCGACCTTCTCCGGCGTTGCCAGGGAGATGGAGCTGAGGATGAGGCACCGGCCCGGCTGTAGGCGGTCTGCTGTTGAGCCTTGAGCGTGGGTGGTGGCTGCTTCATTGAACGCCGCTAAAGTGAACCTGGCGACTCTGTATTGGTGTTGCAATCTAATAGTGGCGAAGCTTATGATAGGTCATTTTGCGAAACACGATCCTGGTATAGATGTCACTCTGCGCTCTCGATTAGACAGATCCCAGCAAAGTGGGTGGGGGCTGTGTCGATGTTGCTAGTCTTTTCGCTGAATGGCCACGACTGCTCCAAAGCGATACCAATAGAGCGATCTCTCCGTGGGCAAATCGTGGTACTGGGGTACCCACTGCCGTCTACAGTATCGCCTGTGGCGTCAACTCTGCAATTCATTTCAGCACGATCTCAAAACGCTCGTGGAAGGATTGCAGAGACTACTGCACGCATTTGCAATCCGCGTAACGCGGGATGCTGCTCCCGGCCGGATCTGACATGCACATCACCTCTCTGCACATGCACGCCAAGTAATCCAACCAGGCATGTTTGAGATCGCGGGCACCGTTGACAGGTTGTCGGCGCAGCCGAGCACTCCGCATGACAGCCTGTGGCCGCCAGCTGTGCCAGGATCATGGTTGGCGGTTCAACCGGAGCATTTGCCGACTGCTTCTGTGAGAACGGAGCCCTATCCGTTATAAAGTGCGCACGAGCGGAGCGATTGCCTGGATCTGAAGAAGACCCAGCTTCGGGATGACAGGAATAGAGGCGAGCAAAATCGTTGGTGAGCATCTGCCAGATGAGGAAGTTGGAGAATGAGGCGATGGAGAAGGATGAATCTTCACAGGCGGTGTTCCGAGGGCTTAAGCGAGGGCAGTTCTAGCCGCTGACCTCACACCTTCCCTTCGCTTCTCACAGCAATGCTTCGCTTCTTCATTCGCTTCAACATCGATTTGGAACATGTCTTCGTACTTCTTGGCTACTGACTTGAAGATCGAGAAGACGAAATTGCCTTACAAGCATCGCCTCACCGCCAGCGCCAGTGCGTACTTCATTACGGAGAGACATTGGCAGTGCACAGCCCAATGAAAGAGAGAATAGCATGTTTCGGGTGAAAAGAGAAGCAGAATCGTCTCAAGAAGCCAGTATCTACTTGCGGCTTACGCCATTGACATCTGGGAGGATTTGCTAGTACCGAAGTTGAGACAAGAATGTCTCGACCTGGTTCTCATCTGGCTCCCAAAACCCGGACATCGGTCTTTCAATTCCAGTCTAAGCTGTATCTTTTCTATACACTCTGGTGTACATATTTCTGCTGTTCTTACGGACGTGGCCTATCCCGCTCGTACCACAACTTAAGTGAAGAAACCGTCACCCGCTGATGTAGAGAAGTAGAGTCCAACGCGGTGCGGTGTAGTTCAAGGCGGCGTGCGGCGTGCGGAGTCCCAGCTGCCCACAGACGGAGCATAACAACTGCATAATGCTCCTCCAGCAGGTGACTGCATCCAGATCTCTTGCTCAACTCCCAGGAAATCAAGTCAACGGCAACTTAGACCCGCCGGTATTCAAATCTTATGCAAGCGCAGCAAGCCACGACTCAAGTCGTGCATCGCACTCAAGTCTCCTTGCGCTCCTCCTTGATTCCCACACCTTGAACAACCATCAACGCCTGCTCGCCCATATCCACTTTCTGCTTCACAACCGCGAAATCCCGCACCTTAACCCCATGCTCTTCGCCCCCTTGGCAGAAAACGTCCGCCGCCTTCTTATCCCTGGGTGCCTTACCACGAACAGCTTCGACCTCATCGCGAATGAATGCCTGCGGAACAATACCAGCGATCAGACATTGCTCTATCTCAGTGAGGTTGTGACTCGGAAGGACTTCGCGTACGGCGGGATCAGCGGCCCAGCGCTCCGATGCCGATGCCATGGCTTCGAGTGTGTTGCTTCTCTGAAGTGATTGTGTCGGGAGTAGTGTGTTGTGCGCGAAGATTCCAGGCTCGAGGAAACTGAGTAGTTGGCGATGGAATTGGCCTTTCCGATTGGGGAGAGTGTATTTGCGCTCTGTGTTTAGCGATGTATGCGGTGTTGATGTGAAGGTTGGGATTGAGTTTGTGTGTTGCTTGGGGTCGTTTGAGGAGGGCGATGAGGCCATTTGATGGTCGCGCGTCGAGTCATGCGGGACTGTTGTAAAGTGAACGAATTGGGACGATCGACTTTTGAGGAAGGCGAACAATAGGTGAACAGGTGAATTGATGGTCGAAGTGCTGCTTCGTTAGTATCGACCGATCAAGACAAGAGATTGTTCTGCACACTATGTGCATATCAAAGAGGTCGAATACGGCGCTCTATCATTCTTCTATTCTCTATTTGCCTTATCTCAACGTCATTCGTACCGTCCGCCTGCTTTTCTCTGCGGTGTTCACTTACACCAATGCCCAATTTACCTTCTTGATCATGCTCGTGAGGCACCGTGCCCTCAGATCTCTTGCCTTGGGCGCTGGCCTTCCATAGCGAAATCGCCAGCATTGTCCTCTGCTTTCATTCCCGAAGTGTTACGTTCTTTTCGTGGAGTGAACAAGCCAGCGAAGATGTAGAAGCACAACACAATGGCCTCCATGGCAAACATCATGGTCGCTTGTACTGGCACACTTGGTGTCGGGTACGCGAATATCGAGCCCGCAGAGCTGAAGCTAACGGCCAGGGTGTAGACTATGCGAACCAGCAGGAACGGCAGGACACAGATGCTGGCCAAGACCAACTTGCTCTCGGATGAGGTAGCATGCGCCTTTCTGCAGAAAGTGTATATGGCAATCGCGGATAGTGCCACCCAAATCAAGAAGAAGAGCACGGATCCCACTTTGAGGAGTGTGCGTCCGAGATCGTAGCTATCCTTGTCGCCTTGCGCAGTCTTGGTACCACCGATGATGGAAAGAATTACATAGTGCAGCCAGAGAGATGAGATGTATTGGTCGGAACACATTCCGGGAGAGGTCTTCAAGTCGCATGCTCTCATTGATGCGAGAAACAAAGCCCAGAAGCGCCAGAAGAAGTGGTGCGGTCCCAACAGCACTTGTGATAGCTGCCGTCCCCTGAATTCCAGATGAGTAGTCGTTTTGTGTTTCCATATAGAGGACGCTGGAGGCGCCCACTATGCGTAGGATCGAGATGAGGACCATGTAGAACCACCCAGAGTTGCGAGTGAAGTTTTGCTTGAGGCATATTCCAACGCAGACGACCAATGCTGGAGCGAAGAAGGCAATCTCAACAGCAGCGAGGATGCCATGAGATGTAAGAGAGACCATGATTATCCGAGGGAAGAGCGGGGCAGTGATGAAGAAGTGTTGGGCAGGAAGCGCTCAGTTGCTTGTGTGTATGCTTGGTATTGCTTGTGTTCCGGAGATACTAGGGGCAGGTCAACCTGTCTTATTATACTTACGCTGATGCCTGGACGCGCAACACATTCTCAATGCATTCGCGGTAACCGAGCCTCTCACAATGGCATATGGCTGAAGCGACCATGATCAGCGACTTCAGCGCATTGCAGACCCATTACACTCGGTCGGACCGATGTCGTGCGATGGCTGCCTTGGGACATAGCCCTCAGCTGAACTGCTGCTGTAGCGATACAGCCTCGTAATGATGGGGACTTTCAGGAGCTTGATGAGCGAAGGTCGCAAAGCTCGCTTCGAAAGGAAGAGGCTCTGAGCTCTGGCGCAACGCTTTCGGAAGGCACGGCGCCGACGCTAGACTGTTTGAGGGATGGTGTTGCGCTGAGCATGGGCGTATGCGCCAGCACGGCGGGCCTCACATTCAGACGGCACGCCTGACGGTGTATGTCCTGTCGACCTTTGTGTTATCCTTCGTAACGATTGGGTATTGCAGTGAGAAATGATTCGAACACAACGTGGTGGCAATGGCTGTAGAGCTATCATTGCGAGAGTCTACATCCTGTAGCTCCGCTCATTGTCTACACAAGTATGGCTTTGGCCTCCGGAAGAACTGCTTTTGTATCTATAACATTGACCAATAATTCAACCAAAACCCTGAACGCCTTCGCTAATCGCTCAAACGCAGCACGCATGTCGCATCGTAGAGCATCGTCTCGTGTCGTAACTCGTTCCATCACTCGTCCCGCGTATAGCTACTCTTCTGCCTCCACCTCTGTCCATAGCGCATGAGGAAGATAGGTATGGGCGCCAGACACAGACTTATCCCCCCGAGAGCTGTAAAAGCCAAACCGTAGCCAGTTCGTTCGACCAGTGGTTCCGCCAGTAACGGCAGGAATGTTCCCATTAGGCATCTTGTGACAATGACTGCGGTCATAGCAGAAGCAGAATACATGCCAAAAGCGTCCACCAGGTAGGCCGTCAACGGCAGGTATCCAAACATGAGAGCTGCGCCCAGAAGCGCTACAGAGATGAGCATCACCGGGAGAGGAAGTGCAGCTTGTGCAACCCAGCCATACATCGTCACAACAATAGATAGGAAGAATCCGCCCAAGATCACAAGAGGGAGACGATATTCCGGATGGCCCACTCCCTTGCCTCGCGTTTCTCGAAGGCGAATGTATATCCTGTCGAGAGTTTGGTTGCAAAGTGTTACACTGACTAAAGAGCCAGCACTGAAGGAGATGAACGCAAGGCCTGTCGCGGCAGGTGAGAGGTCGTAGACTGTTTCCAAGATGTCCGGGAGTGTTGTAGAAAGAATGTAGAAGAAGGAATAGCTGACGCTGCCAACTATCGAAACCGCTTGGAGAACGCCTGAGCCCCAGAACACGACCGCAGGGCGCATGATTTGCTGCCACAGACCTGTCCCATTGGCTTCGCCTTGAATTTCGTAAACAGTGCGCCAGGCCGTGTCACCGGTCTCTTTCCTCAGCTTAGCTGCTCGAGTATTGAGAATTTTGACTTTAAAGGTCTCACGAAACAGCAGCAAGAAGGTAATTTCACAGAAAGTGGCCAGTCCAGCAGATGCCCACAGAATTGATCGCCATCCAAGCTTCTCGGCGATTAGACCGGCAGTCGCTGGGCCTATTGCGCCGCCCAGCAGAGGCGCCAGCATAATCAAGCTCATGGCCGCGCCCCGCTGCTCTGAAATGAACATGTCGCCCACAATGGCTGGATTAAGCACGTTCGATGCGACAGCCAGTCCAGTGAAGAAGCGGCTCGCAATGAGCAGGTTCGCACTAGGTGCCAATGCTGCTACAACAGTTGCTGTGATGAAGAGAGTGTTTGTTACGTTCATGACTGGATATCGTCCGAAGACCTCCGACAGCGGCGCGATGAATAATGGGCCAGCTGCTTCGCCCAGCTCCCAGATTGTGACGAGAAGCACGCTGGCAGACTTGTTCTTGTGCCCATCCAGGTCCACTACTATGCGACCGGCGACCGGTACGAGTGAGATGCAGGTGAAGGTCACGCTGAACGCTGTCAACGCCAGGAGGGCTACAGCACTCCACTTGTATGCATCACTCCATGTGTAGGGATTCTCAGGGTCGCCATTGGGATCGAAGTCAACAATGTTCTTGGTCTTTGCGTCATCGTAGTCTGGGGAACCTCGGTGTTCGTTTGCTAGAAGCGGTGAGCTTTCGTCCATGGTCGTGGAATGTGCTCCAGGCAGTTCGCTATCGTGTTCATCGACACCGTTCGTCATGTCGCACAATGTGAAGAAGGATAGTGAAGAGGGAATGCAATAGAAAAAGTGCAGCAGAAGACCCGCAGTAATCCGTTGACGCAGTGGGCTGGCCAGCGCCCTGCATGCGGCTGGTCTAAATAGAGTTTGCGTTAGCGCCTAGGTATGCTATCCTTTCCTCTTTTCCGACCGTCATGCAATAGTGCTTCCATCCAGTCCGCGCACAAGGGTCGTATATGTTGAAGATATGCTATGTGGCGAGAGACGTCGTGAGAGCTATGTGCATTGTCGGAACTCGGGCAACGTCGTGCAGTACAAAGCGGATGGTGTGCTCGTGTCGGATGCTGCCAAGATTCACGGAAGCACGCAAGCACGCTTCGAGCTGTGCCCCAGAAATTTCTCTTTCTTCCGGACTGCCGTCTTGCTCTAAAATTCAACCACGGCTAGCGTCGGTGATTGCTGTGAGCGGCATCTGGCCATAGACCTTTCAGAAATGCGATGAGGCGCTATGCTAGGATTGCCTGACGATCTGAGTAAGTCCAGATGCTGGAAGGCCTGGAAAGCATGGGAAGCAGTCAGATTGCCGGCAATGGGTAACATCTTGCTTGGCAGCGTGATCTTATCGGCATGTGAAGTGCCCTTGAGCTCTTGCGGTGAGGCTACGGATTGCGAGAGGCCTCTAAGCATCCAGGCAGGTCATGCTTCAGCGAGAGTCCAGTGAATATGCAGTCCATGCTGAATGGTAGGCCAGGAACGCGAGGATGCTGTCGAGGTAACCAAACCTGGATGCATTCAGCAGATATTCGATGCTTCCGCACCGCGTACAGCATCGTCGCGTTGTCGAGTCGTGCACTATCGCTGGCTTTCCTGAGCAAAGGGAGTAGTCGGTGAGGCGGCTAGTTTGACCAAAGCAGGACAGGTCATCGCTGCGCATTCATCCTCTGGGCTGCCAGACTGAAGATAGCTACGGAGGACATGAATAACACCAGGTTGTAGAAGGCATTGCGCGAATATGCGCTCTCCTCTGCTTCGGTCCGTGCCTCGACGAACAGTCGGCGAAGGTTGGGCAAGTTGGACGGCTGTATGGGAATGAGCCGCTGTTCATGATCAGATGCCATGTTTTCCGTACCATTTCTATGATGCGCGATGTGATACCACCCTCCGCACCGAACGATACAGTGTGCTTTCGATGCAAGTGATGTCGAGGTAAGATTTGTGCTTTAGGGGTGTTCGACGGCAGTCGCTCTTGGCTAGAACGCTGTGACATCTGCACCACAGCGTAGCAGCAGCCCACTTCCCGTGACTTTTGGCCTGAACAGCAAACACCAACCGACCTCACGCCGCCACCAGACACTCCCGCTCCGCCAGCCACGATTTCGAGCGACCTTTGGTCCCTTTCCTTCCAGCGATTTCCTTTCCTGCTATTGGGGACCGCTGCGGCGGAGCGCGTACCGAAGAGGCCACGTCAATAGCTGTACTTGCGGTCTGGCTTTGTATGGAGTAAAAGGGAGCGATCACGCGCGTCACCAGCTGCATCACGACAGAAAGGACACAACATGGCAGTCAACAGGCTGCGGAGTGCGCTGGGCACAGCGCGGAAGGGCGAGACGTTTGAGCTGCGAGCAGGCCTGGTGTCTCAATATGCCTGGGAGCGGAAGGAATCGATACAGAAGACCATCATGTCCATGACATTAGGGAAAGACGTCTCCGCACTATTTCCCGATGTGTTAAAGAACATTGCAACGCCGGACCTGGATCAGAAGAAGCTGGTGTATCTATATCTCATGAACTACGCCAAATCACATCCCGACCTGTGTATTCTCGCCGTAAACACATTCGTCCAGGACTCCGAGGACCCAAACCCGTTAGTGCGAGCGCTCGCAATACGAACGATGGGATGCATCAGGGTAGACAAGATGGTGGATTATATGGAAGAACCTCTGCGAAAGACACTTAAGGACGAGTCACCATATGTGCGGAAAACAGCGGCGCTCTGCGTGGCCAAGTTGTTTGACTTGAACCCCTCGCTGTGCATCGAAAATGGCTTCTTGGAGACTTTGCAAGAGATGATCGCTGACAGCAACCCGATGGTCGTGGCAAATTCAGTGACTGCTCTTGCAGAGATCACAGAAGCGGCGCCAGAGACGAATGCCCTTGTGGTAACGGCTCAGACCTTGAAGAAGCTCCTATTGGCACTGAATGAATGCACAGAATGGGGGCGGATTACAATTTTGGAAACTCTGGCCGACTACAAGCCACAAGATGCAAAAGAAGCGGAGCACGTCTGCGAACGGGTCGTGCCACAATTTCAGCATGTCAACCCTTCTGTGGTTCTGGCAGCTGTTAAAGCGGTCTTCTTGCACATGCAGTACATTGAAAACGCTTCTCTACATGCCACCTACCTCAAGAAGATGTCGCCACCTCTAGTCACACTCATCTCAAGCCAGCCTGAAGTACAGTACGTGGCACTGCGGAATATTGATCTCCTGCTTCAAAAGCAGCCAGGATTACTCGAGAAAGAAATGCGCGTCTTCTTCTGCAAGTACAATGATCCGCCATACCTGAAATTGCAAAAGCTCGAAGTAATGGTACGAATCGCAAACTCAACCAACGTGGATCAACTACTGGCCGAATTGAAAGAGTATGCAGTTGAGGTCGATGTTGACTTCGTTCGGAAAGCAGTACGTGCAATTGGGCAGGTTGCAATCAAGATCGAGGAGTGCACGGAAAAGGCTGTCAATGTTCTGCTGGAGCTCATCAACACAAAGGTCGGCTATGTTGTGCAAGAGGTGATCGTTGTCATCAAAGATATCTTCCGGAAGTACCCCGGCTACGAAGGGATAATACCTACACTTTGCCAGTGCATCGACGATTTGGATGATCCCAAGGCGCGTGGGAGTTTGATCTGGATCGTGGGCGAATATGCCGAGAAGATCTCGAACGCTGGTGACATCCTCGAAGGCTTTGTCGACGACTTCAACGAAGAATTCACACAGGTAATTACGTTCTTCCAATCAGTGACGACAGCACGCTAACATTGCGTAGACCCAGCTTCAGATCCTCACCGCTGTCGTCAAGCTCTTCCTGAAGAAGCCAGATCAAGCACAAGGGCTCGTACAGAAGGTCCTGCAGGCAGCAACAGCCGAGAACGACAACCCAGATGTTCGAGACAGGGCATACGTCTACTGGCGCCTGCTCTCTTCAGATCCTCAGATTGCCAAGAACATTGTACTCGCACAACGGCCGCAAATTACGTCCACGATACCCGCTCTGCCACCGCCACTCCTGGATCAGCTCTTGCCCAACCTATCTACCTTGGCATCGGTCTACCACAAGCCGGCGAAGACATTCCTGGGGGCTGGCCGCAGCTCCGCGCTGCAAGAAGAAGCCATCGAGGAAGCCAAGCAAAACGCGAAGGAGAACCCGATCGCTGCTGCTGCAGTTTCGGCTGCAATCGCAGGAACAAGTGCACCACCTGCACAGAACAACGCCGAAAATTTGCTCGACATCGACTTCGACGGTGCAGCCCCAGCATCGATGCAGAAAGCCCCCGGTGCTGGCGCTTCAGGACTAGAAGGGCTTGCTGGTACACCTCAACGTGTCGCAAGTCCAGCGCTGAATTCACCAGCAATTGGTGGTGGACTCGAAGACTTGATGGGTCTTGGCGGTGATCCAACGCCTGCAAACGCCAACGGCGGAGGAAGCAATGATCTTATGAATGGGGTTTCCGGGATGAGCATGGATGATCAGCCACCTCCACCGCAGACGCAGATGAATGGCGGAGGCAAGAAGACGAACGAAGATCTTTTAGGTCTGTTCTGAACATAGGATGAGTTGCAGAGCAATACACTGCCAACATGACACTGAGCCGTCATGCCCAGAAGCCAGCTCCAGTGCTAGTCCCGCCTCACACCAGCTTGCCCAACGATGACGACGAGCAACCAGTCAACCGTTGCCCACGAATGTTGTATACGATGTTCGTCGCATAAGGAAACCGGAACACGCCAGTCACAACATGAAGCTTGAAGCCCGGCGTAGCCTCGTGCCTGATGTGCGAGCTCGCGGCCACATCATTGCCAATGACGTGAAAGTCGCAGAACAGCGGCACGAATGCACCCAGGACAGCTCAGCAAGCGTCATACAATTCTTACAGGGGGCCGCACTGGCTCGCGCGATGCAACATACTGTACGGCTTGATGCCAGAGATGCTACGAACACAACAAACAGGCGTATGTAACGATACGACGTAGACAAAAGCATGCCCAAGCGTGTGCCGAGCACAAAATCCAGTAATCACAAAAGCTATGCTCGCTGCACGACATATATTCCACTTCAGCCCGTATCACAACACAATCACCCACAAAATGATTGCAGCCCTTGGCCTGCCCCCTTGAGGTCGGACTTATGGCGTGAACAGTATTGCCAGAGGTTTCAATTGCATTGTTCTGCTCGCTTTCCACGATCCCATCTTCACACCGCTCACAACTCATATTTAAAGCACACAATTGATCAGCACAATAGTGATCCAGTGCATCTGCGAGACACTGCGCGACATTCTGTCTTTACTGGCATCTTTTGATGCAAGCCAACTCGGAACGGCTCTTCTCGAGACACCATAAGCAACATGAACGAGGGCTGTTGTGGAACATGCAAAAGCCCATGCAGCCACAGCGGCGATGTCAAATATGATGAATTGAGAAGTTATGCATCAATGCTCTACAGATTCACAACCCGAGACTTGCGTATACGCTCACCATAGAAGTAAAAAAGGAACGGCACCGGCGTCATTCCCAACGCAATGAACGCGATCAGACTATTGCCCCAGCCAAGCCCTAGCTTGTCGTACATGCTCAGCCCTGCCAGAGGTAGGAGACCCCCAACGATTGATCTCAGGACTGTGATTGCGGCAGTGGCGGAAGCTGCGTAAAGTGAATAGGCATCGATGACATATTGCTGCGATAGCTCGTCAGTGAGCTTTCTTCAATAATCTGTAAAGAACTCACCTGAATGCAGATCAAGGCGGCAATGATGCCAATACCGAAAAGTAGGGTTCCGAAGAGTGGGACGGCCCATTGGATCTGGTAGTTTGCCGTCCAGCCGTAAATGAAGAGCCCAACAGGTATAAGCCAGCCCGTGTACATGAGGATAAGGAGTCGATACTCTGGTTTCAGGTCGCCATCGTTCTTCGCAGCTTTGGACTTCAAAAGCTTGTCTGAGGCGCCACCGATCAAGAAGAGCCCGATGAACATTCCGATACCAGATCCCAGGTATGTCAATCCCACAGTGGAGGATGAAAAGCCGTAGTATTCCATGAAGACGAAGGTAAACGTCGTGTAGAGCAGGTATAAGACTCCGTACACGAACGCGCCGTAGATTGCCATTAGGCTGACAATTGGTGAGAGGAAAAGCATCTTGAATGGCCGAATGAGAGCTCGGGAAAGGCGAGCTTTGGGCGTGAGGCCATCATCCTGAATAGAGCGGAGGGAGACATTGCCTGTCTCCTTTCGCAAGCGTTTTGCTTTGCGATCGAGGAGCGTGACGGAGAACGTCTCGCGACAGAACAGAGCGTGAGCGACTGTGCATACGCCATAGGCGATGGTGATGACCCAGAAAGTCCATCTCCAGCCCGCGTCCGCTGCAAGGTAAGCGCCGGCTATGGGGCCAATGACCTTTCACCGTGGTTAGCTTGTATAGCCGCAACACGAAGGAACTCATGAACTTACTGGTCCGAGAAGGGGTCCCATACCAAACAAGGCCATGCTCAGCCCTCGCTTTTCCTGGGAAACAAGATCCGCAATCGACGCACCACCCAGCGTAACAGGACACACACCAAAGCATCCAGCGAAGAATCTGAAGACGATGAGCTGCGGCATACTGCTCGCCACCGCGCAGGCAATCGTGAAGATGATGAAGAAGATATTCGAGATCAAATACACCGGGTATCGCCCATACATCTCTGACAGCGGGGATATCAACAGAGGACCGACAGCGAAGCCCAGAATGTATATCGAAACCACGAGTTCGGGAATCGTTGCGGCGTTGGTCTGGAACTCTCGCAGGACATCTGGGACGGCGGGCGCGAACATGCTTGATGCAAGCGGAGTCAAGAAGCAGAGGACGATGACCAGAGCGGTGTTGATCAATTTCGCCTTCGTTGTCCAATTTCGAGGGTTCGCTGGATCATTGGGGCCATCCCAATCGACAATATTGGGATCTTGACTGGAAGTATTCTGGCCATCTTCTTGTCGTATGGCTGCTTTTTCCACGTCGTCAATTGACGGGCTGTCCTGTCTCGATATATTGTCTCTTTCATGGTCCTTTCGATCTTCTAGTGAGGTCCTCGGCGGCGTTCGTTGCGCGTCGGCCATTCTTGTGGAGGGATGAGCTTAAGCTCTGGTCTGTCCCGATGATGTTGTGCCACCGCTGGAAGGCGGAGCTGTGTTGATCACTTTGAGATAATTTTTGAGGACAGAGATAAGTCAAGACATCATCACGAAGAATCAAGCAATAGCAAAGCACGACCACGTGGTGTCGGTGGTCGGTGGTGACATTGCGATCGGGAGGTTCATTGCACGGGATCTACGTTTCCTGGAGTAGATTGTGCAGTGTCGAAGCCATCGGCGTATCTGTGCCGAGCCAAGGAGGCGGTAGGATTCGAGGCCATAGAGATGTGGCGTCCAGTCAAAGTGCTTTACCGAGCAGATGTGGCGGCTAAAGGGGTTTGGAGCGTTCGCATAACTTGCACAATTTAGCCTTTGCACCCAACCTCGCAAACCTCGTATTTTCGCATTCGGGTGTAACAATGGTATGCAGTCGCTTTCGCAGTGCAGCATTCCGATGGCCTTGCCTGGTGAATGTGCAGCGTGCACAACTTTTCGTGCAGCTTGTCAAACGTCTTATCCTCTAGTCCAATGACCATAACATGTCCTGTAGGAAACATGTCGCGTAGACTATCACGCTGCGGCGCCAAAATTCTTCGATGTGCTGTTCAATAAACCGCTTAAGGGGCCTGATATGAAAGCGAGCATGCGCTTGAAGGCCCTATGAGCAAGAAGAAGTTCTTGATAAGCTGTCAATTGCTTTCGTTCGTGCCAGATCCAGGTACCCCAAAACTTAGGGTCGCAAGTCGTCAAGAGTAGCCAGCTAGAATGGTTGCCAATCACTCCCGCTTGATTATTTCTTGGTCCATCTCTTTCATGAATTTTGAGATTTCACCCATCAACATATCTGCCGTGAAGAACATCCAGACCTCTATTGGGTAGATACTGGCTCTTTGATATAGTCCAGGCGTGGGCCCTTTATCGCCAACGGTAATAAAGGCAACAAAACTAACCAGTCCGATGATACCAGAGACCAGCGACACAACTTTATGCAGTCCCCAGCGCTCAGCAGCAATACCAGTGAGCAATGAGTTCACATTTCCGGAACCAATTGCTAGAACTGCGCCGAGAATGTGAAAGGGAGCAAGACCGGCTTCTTCTTCCTTGTCTCCAGCTGGGATTGCCGCGAGCAGAGTGCTACCAATCATGTAACCGACCGCAGCGATCGTTCTTGCTTTGGCCAATTTTGGTGCCTTGAAGCTACTGAGGAGAAGTCTTTGACCGAGCAAATAGAGGATTCCATGCGAAAAGAACATGAGATTCATCAAATTACCTCGCGGTGAGACTGCCAGGCGTCCTGTCTTCTTGTCGACATATTCTTCGGAGACAGCAAGCTGTGAGGTGTAGTGTTCCTTGTAACTATAAGATGGGGAGTGTTCCTGAGATACGTAAAACTCTGTGCCATAGTAGAGGGCTGGGGTAACAAAATAGATGATGCAGGCGAACACCGCTGGGAGAGTGTTGAGTGTCGATGAGGGAACTGCGTCGCCCGTGGGCTTATTCGGAGGGCTTCCAGTTGAGGCCATGGCGTCGATGTATGAGCACGAAGAGATGAAATAAGAGATAAGGGCCGTCTGCAGCTGGTCTTGTGCCAGAACAAATCAATGTTTCTGCCCGGCGGTAGCCTGTTGCACGTGGTGGAGGTGTTATTGGTCCGTGACGGCCGGGGAAACGACTGTCGCAAGGTCTTGGCTTTGCCGACGCTCCGAGAAAGTGCTCCTGGGTCAAGTACGTTCCACCACACGCGATCAGGCAAAGCATCATCACCATCATGAGCCAACACGCCTTGCGGATCCCGCTACGGAATGTAGCATCGAAGTCCTTGAAGCCTCAATGGATATGTCAGCGATGTCTTGCAACGCAGGCGCAGCCTTCTACCGTTTATCAAAAGCTTCCGACTGCAGACCTTCTATCGCGCCAACTCCCACAAAGAAAGCTGCCAGACCAGTATTTATCACATGTTAATGCAGAGACACTGCCGATATCAGAGCAGGAGCAATGGGAGAAAGTGGCGCCTCACAAGAAGATCGTGGGAGTTGTGGTGAGCCATGGCAAGATGGACAAGACCGTGAGGGTGCGCGTTGCAGGTCAGAGATGGAACAACAAAATCAAGAAGGTAGGGTGACGCGCTGCTAAGGGACATGATTGCAGCATTAACACATCTACAGTACTACCGCGCTGATCAAAACCACCTGGTGCACGATCCCAACAACTCTCTTGTCACAGGCGATGTGGTTGAGCTGCACCGACTCAAAGTCAGCACTCAGGTCGAACACGTTGTCTCGAAGATCGTGTCTCCCTTCGGAAATCCCATTGAATCACGGCCACCTGTACCTAGTCCGGAGGACCGACTGGCAGCGTATAAGGCAAAACGATTCGTGAAATTGGAGCGAAGGGAGCTGCGTAGACAAGCTGCCGATGGAGTAGAAGATGCGATTCAGCAATTGAGAAGTATGGGTCTCGATCCAGGAGCGGGCGCGAAGCCTGGAGTGGGCAAGACGGAGAATGTGCCGAAAATAATCCGGGAAGAAAGGACGCCCAAGAGCGGTGCTTTGCTAGGCGAGAAAGGTCAGAAGTTGCCGAAGGGAGTGTTGCCAGTCGGCAAACACGAGGTGGGTGAAATCAATGACCGTTCATTACACAACTCCCGGAAGAGAACAAAGCTAGAGGGAAAGACGGAGGAGAATCTGCTCGAAGCTCAGGAAAAGGGTGAGAAGCTCGCTCAAGAAGGACTCGCGTCCGACTCCGCACTGAGATAGGTTGCGGCCAATTGGGACCTCTGCGGGTAACAGGAACGAACTATGTACAACCACCACAATGTACACCACCAGTCAACAGTACCCTTTCCCGAACCTCACCTAGCACTAGACGTCTAGATCACAAAGTCGCGGGCCCAACAGAAAAGAGTTGATGAAGAGAAGCAAACATAGCCGTGGGAAGATTGCGACGAATCATCGCAAATCACCGACGAGACCCAAATCAATGCCTAGATCGTATACACATGACCGAGCCACTGACTAGCAAACCTGACCAGGTCAAAGTGCGAGAAGTTCCAACGGACACGAGAGTGCCGTATGAAGACCAAGCATCACATCAGAAAGAGGAGATAGTGTGTAAACTGGTACGATTTTTCCACGATTCTTCCAGAGAGTTCGTATGAAGAAAATCCCTTGTCTACGAGAACCCAAAATGTTGGATCCAACTTAACGACTGCAAGAGCAAATCTGCGAAATAGTAATAGAAAAGGAAACAGTAACCAAGCCGCAAACGAAACGACCATCGAAACCGTTAATACCTTTCTCTCCACAATGAAAATAAAGCTTAGGATACTGACTATCAGACTTTCATCCCCCCCATCCGTTCCGCATTACATACATACATATGCAAGTCATATTCGAAACAATGACAGACCGGCACACTAGTCCTGACACGCGTACTCAAAGTCAAGGTAGAAAGGAAAACAACACGTCTCGACTCTCCAGGCTAGGGCAGAAGACTTAGACTTTTGTTTCGAGTCGAGCGTGAAGAAAAAAGGTAGTTTTTGACAAAGATGAAACGACTCACAGGTTCTGGCGAGTAAGGGTGGTTTCGAATCCCTCCCTTGCTGGGAAAACGAAAGCGATCAACGAAGAGCCTTGGAGGTTGTTATGTTTTCTGGTGACTTGGGGTTTTGGTGCATGGCCCTGCCTGCTTGTGGGTGTGTGTGCCTACTACGTTGTATCATGTGCTGCTACGACTCATGTATTTGATGCTTGAAGTCAGACCTTGTGGACGCGGTCCACTTACTACCTAATATGGGAAGTGAGGTCAAGGAAGCACAATGGACACCGTAGAGGTGGGAATGATTTTCCGATCCTTCGGTCTGATGTTGCAAGGGCGGATAGAACTAGTGAAGCCTGCGGACGATCAATTGTGTGCTCGTGGAGAGTGGACCTTTCGCCAGATATAGAAAAAGCACAAGCAATACCAAACATCGAATCAGATTCTCCGAATTGTTGTGCACCACCATCAGCAAAGACTTAACACGGCCAAAAACCCGCATCACTTTCATAAATCCTACCCTTGGCTCAAGCCCGAGGGCTCAATGCTCTGCGTGTGACCATATCGAAAGAAAAGCACACATCAGCCAGATTGTAAGATCCAATAAATGCGCCACATCACCGAATCTCACATGCACAAAAGCGAGCAAAGCAAGGAGCCAGATTGCGTCGTGTAACGTGGAGAAAGCCTCGAAACGAACCACGGCTCCGAGCCACCCAGCACCAAAAAGAAGCCCCCGTCGTTGCTGTGTCGACCGGGACCCAGCTTTCTCATTCCCCGGATGATGATGTTTATGTCGACAAACAACCAGATCTGTAGCTCGTGCGCCGCGGATTCGCTTTTGCGCAGTTTGCACATGGCGTGGAGGTGGGAAAGTCTTGCCGTCCGGTTGGGGGAAAGTTGTTGGGCACTGTGATGGAGGTGTGGGCTAGCTGGTGGCTGCCCGGCTCGGGCGTGGGCGAGAGCGAAGAGAGGAGAAGCTCTTCCGTTTGGTGAGTGGTGAGAGCTGGCCGGGCTGGGTGGCACGAATTTGGTTCAGCATGCAGCTTGTGCGAGATGCCGCGATTGGGCAGAGAACGATGAATTGGTTCTCGACGTGGTGTTGCGATGGCCGAACGAGGACGAGTGACCTGGCCCTGCTTCTCGTTAGGATTGTGATGAGTTGTGCCTGACGGCGATATTGTTTGTGCAGGCGTCCATGCTGAACTTTGGACAGCGCAACGATGAGCACGAGAGCTGCAGGTCCTCCGTGACCGCCTCATCACAGGCCAGCCTGCAGCGTGCATGTCCTGTCTTAGGAGATATTTTCGGATCTCGGCGGCGCGATTACATGTGAGCCTGGGCTCTGGAAGCCACCACAGTGGAGAGCTTTGCGATGATCTTGCACTTCGGTGTACAGAGCTTTCCGGAGGATTTCGGTATGGTCTTCTTGTTGCTGCGTCACGAGCGATGATCGACTTCGGTCACCAGAAGCCTGCGTGCAAAGCACCATGGTCGTCTTGACAGACGCCGCATTGGCTACTCTGGTTGTGAATGCATGCGCATGTGTGGCCAATGCTGTGCATGCCACCCTACAGTTCTGGTGCTTTTGAGGGGAAACGACCAGGAGGGTGGTCTATCCCGTGGACTTGCATAGTACGACGCAGCCGTCCGCGGCAGCTTCTGTAGTGGACCAATGTTTTACGCACTTTGGCTCGGTGATGTTCATGGTGGTGTGCGGTACAGCTCGCGCTATCACATTGCTGCATACGGAGGTCAGCTTGTATCTTGCAGCGCATCTACAGTATCGACAGCACAATAGCTGCAGTGTGAGAGGCATTGCAGAAGACGAGGTCGTCCAATAAGGCACGGATGTCCAATAGGAAGACAGCCTTCCAAGCATGGTCCCAGACGGGAAATGCCATTGAGAATCTAGCTTTTCCACTGCAACCAGAGGATTGGAGCTTAAAGTGAAAAGGCGTCGTGGAAACCGGGGAGGAGCCCGCGACGATCTTGAAGGCATGGATTCCGTGGACAGCGCAGACGTTTCGTAGCTGCAGCCCAGTTTGAAGAGTTCGGAGCCATTGGCAACGCCAACGACGCGCGCCCACCATTGCGAGCTCGAAACGCACCTGTGCTCGCGGTGGATGGTTTCACGGCGAGGAGATTACTGGCTTTGCACCTTGCACATCGCCCTCCAGGCCTCGCTCGAGCGGTGGTGATGGTTTTGCGCAAGGCAGGTCAGGCCTGCTCCTGCGCCCAACGTCGCAGGTTCCGTGCAGAGGGCTGCCCTGTCGTCGCAGCGAACTGCGAGTACGGGCAGGCGGTACATGTCGTGTCGCAGGTGTCTCGGCACTTCCACGAGCACCACGGTGCAAGCATCCGCTGCGCGTGCGCGCCAGGAACTCGTTGATCAACGACGAAGGCTGCGCTGCAGCGCCTCTGCCGCAGATTGCTCGCACGTCCGCCCTGACGTCGGGCCACTCGTCATGATCATGATGAAATCGCCGAAATAAGCTCTTCATCAGCGGCGTGATTGCACTGGGGCCAAAAAGCAGTTGCACATCGAACGATGCCGCTCGCCGAGCAGTGCATCTCGCGATGCTGCCTCGTGGTGCGCGTTGATCGTGATGGCAGTTGTCAGATGGAGTGCGCCGCTGAGATGAAGCGTGCACGCGCTCCGAGAGCGGTCACAGCGGCGAGCATATGCTTGCATCTGGGCCCAGCCTCTTCCGATGCACTGTGTCGAGGATGCTGACGAATGGCTCAGCGCACGAAGAAGCTCCGAGTGCCAGCAGCACGGCGTCGCAATCGGCAGAACTCACGACGCTCGCCTGCCGGCGGTCGGCGTGCGAAGGAGGCCTGGGAGTGAGATGAGCGTGCACGCTGGTCTCGCACCCTGCGTCGTCAAGCGTCCATGTGAGATGCAGTAGTGAGAAGTAGTCGCGACGCATTGGCTCTAGCGCCGACGCGAAAAATGGAAAGCGACGCGTCGAAGCGCGTCGAGCAGAGAGTCACCGAGTAGTAGTCACCTGCCCAACCTCCAGCACACAGCACACAGCTGGGCAGCTCGTGAGTGGTGAGCTTCATGGACAGCAAAGTGCAGCGCTGAGCCAGTAGCGAGCTGTGCTGGCCAGAAATTCAGCAACGTGGGCCAGTCACGAGCGAGTGCATTCTGCTACTGCAGCACTATACAGGCGTTGAAGCCCTTCGCGGGCCTGGCTGCAGGCCGCTCCACCCCAGCATGCACTGGCACAGGAGCCGGGCTGCTGCGCGAAGGGGAACAGCACAGAGGCGCCGTCTGACCGCTGCAGTGGTTCGTGACGAGAAGCGGCAGCAACAGCAGCAGCAGCAGCAGCAGCACGAGAACGAGGCTGTCTGCTGCGCTGCGCTGCGAGCTGCCGTGAGACGCGCGAGCTGCCCGTTCCAAGGCCGTTCGGCGGGCCTGCGCGACCGGCTGCTG